GGGGGGGGGGATTTAATTAAAATAAGTAAAATCTGCTCTGTGTCACACAAGAAAAACTCGTAAGAGTAGCGTTACATAACCGGGTGGATACGAAGTAGGTTCAGAAGTGTGTTGGCACTGAAAGCATGTCAGAGATGCTCACTCACCCGAGCGCTTTGCCCCGCAATCAGCTGATCATCATCTGTCTGCACACTGGTCCTGCTGCGCACATCAATGTCTTCCATCTCAAAGTCTGAGTCGTCAAGCTCCTCGGGGGTCTGGAGGAAAAGAGCAAGGGAGATATGCCATTAGATAATTAACCAACCCGGGAATAATCGACGGTTTATATTTGCCAGGAGGGACCAAATCCAGTAACACTGGCACAGATGGCAAAACGGTAAGTAAATTCACAAAAAATTATCGTTTGTCTACATACACATGGTGAACACAGGTAGGGTCTGGCAACCCTCCACGCCATGGTTTAACAGTGTACTTCCCAAACAAAGGTATCTGATGATGGCGAAGTGGGAGGGGGGGGCATTAAAAGAACTTCCTCAGTGCTTTAGCATGCACACAATCATGGAGTTTTGCAACATTAAGTCGAAAACAGGATTCCCCCAAATGAAGTATAACTGCGCCATTTTAAGACTGTTAGAAGTATACTGCTGGATTCCTTGAACACATTTTTCTATTTGGAAATTCCAGGATTTTTGCCAAAGGACCCGAGAGAGACGTAGGGGTCATTTAACCAAACAGTTGCCATTCTATTCCACCTTCCATTCACATCATCAGTGTCACTGAATCGCGTTACATGCAGAATATGTGCAATAATCTTAACATTTTGTTAAACATTCACATATAAAACACAAAATGAAAATTAGCCCAAACGCGTCAAAAATATCCTTGATAAATTCAGAGCTTCAGAAGTTAAAATAATATTTAGTTGAATGTAATGACTGCTTTTCTACCTCTGCAAACACTGGAAAAAGTGATTTATTCCCATAAACTAGACAGAAAAACCCAAATATTTCATTTTTTGTTCTTGTGTAATATTCACAAGCCAGACCGATATAAAATTTTGGTCATATAAGGACCAGGGAGGTACCAGCAAATTTATCTTGCAGGCATTTGCACGTTACTCCTTTGTCTGTAGTGATACCTGTAATCACACACGTCCAAGGGGAAATTTCAAAGGATGATCAAAGGATCATTTACTTAGGATTAAGCTATCAAAGGAATCACAAGTGAGAATCTCTTGTTCATTCACAAAATGGTGAAACTGGTCATCTTGAACATGACAGCAAAAAAAAAAAAAGGGGGGGGGGGCTGTGCCTGACTGCTATGAAGAGGTTTAGACACCAACAAAAAAGCTTAAATGACAGAAATGAATGTGGCTACACATCAGTTTATAAAAGTATAATAAAGTAAATTAATACAGATAGTCAGCAAAGTCAGAGGGGCCCCGAGGACTTATGTAAAAATTCCAAGCGTCATGCTAAGAGAGCAAGACATACCCCAGTGTACAGTGAAGCCCCCAAAGGCTTGTTATCCTGTTATGAAGCTGGTTTAGGGAAGCATGATCAGAGTTTGTCTGTTTAAGGGGCAGCTGACAGCAGCATAGGGAGTGCAAAGCAAGTGCTGCATTTGTGTAAAATCTCCTACAATAACTTTAAGGATGAAGCAATGATGCAAACTAAGAGCTACACTATGGGTTGACTGTCATACAACTCATTTGTCAACTGGAAGTCAGTAACAGTGACAAGCCTGAGGTGGATACAGAGCTGCCTGACAAGAATAGGAATGTTTGACAAAGCCCTTGAGCATTCCACTTAAAGAGGTTAAAGACTCTGTCCATCTTAAGTAGCCAGAGCTACACACTTGTCCGTTTGGATTGAAGAGTGACCTCGGTTGGGGCTTTTTAAGAGCCTGCCAGATCTGTTCCTCAGAACTGTGCACAGCTTGGCTGATTTGAAACAACTCCTGTACTGCCTTGCTAGCATGGTATACACATCTTAGCCAAATGCTATGCCATAGTATGCCAATACTCTGTAGCCTTGCTTTTAGGTGGGGAAGAGCAGCCTTTCAGTTAAAGTATTTCACAATTTGCTCAGTATAACCTCAACTGTTGGTTCAACCTTTAAAATGTATGCGTAACGTTTTACATTAACCTGAACAGAACAATACAGGCTATTCCAGGAAGGAAATTCCACTCTCCTCCGGTTTAAAAGGACAAGGGAAATCAATTAATGCAAAAGACTTTTTTTAACCAAAGTAAAAATTTCCATGACTTTTTCATGCTTTCTTCAGGGCTCAAGCTACATTTCCAGGAATCGATTAAAAGAAAGATTCTTTGGTGAACCCATTCAGGGAAACGTGGTCCAAGTTCTGCGATCACCATCACGACACCTTTACAAACATGCACCTCATGTAGAGCAACCAGCTGTTATGATCTTGAATTCATCATTTAGATATGGAGGTACCTTCCTTCGCATATTTTACAGATGCACATGGTGCGTCTCTCTCCCCATTTCAGACACACTATCAAAAAAGCTGCAGTTTAATTTCCAACTGGACTAATAATGGTGAGCTGAACAATTAACCGCGCTAGACTTTTCCAGCTATCACCCGATAGATTTGCAACAAACAACTGAGTTGTAAAACTTAGTGCTAAAAGACAAATTGTGTGTGTGCCATTAAAATTACCCTAATGTGACATAAGTGTGATATACGTGTGACAAGAGAAAGAACAAAATAATGCTGTTAACTTGAAGTACACCCAACGTGTTATAAAATGTGTTAAATAATAATGACATGGTGCACTTTGTATGTAAACATAAAAGAAGGTCAGCCCGGGTGTGTGGTAACTTAGCACCAGCATGGAAATATTATAAGCTAAAAATGAAATTGTACCTTTTGTGAAAGTGTTTGTTTTATCTATTAAATGTGTTCCGTCCAGCAACCCCTCAAGCGACAGACTCACTTTTGCTTGCTCTCTCAGTTTATTTTCAGACTGATACTTAAAGTTGAACTTTACACACTCTGTATCTAAATTTCTCTGCTAGCTTGTACTCATAGCAGAGCAATCTTTCACAGGTTGCGCATTAAGTGTTTGTCTGTGGTGCTTTGAGACACCACAGTGCACCCTGCATATAAACACAGCTGCACGCGCAAGTTTTTTTGTACTGTCTGATATTTGGACTTCAGTCTTTACATAATCTACTGTTCAAGTTAATATTTATAAAAATATCTCTTTTAGCATGGTCCACAAGACCATAATAAATGTAGGCTGACACCACACGCAACAGTCTATTAAACACAATGAAAATGCCCACTGAAGAGCAAGGAGTAATTTATCGGGGAAATCCACTAGGATCTAGAGTCAAAAATACTTAGGTGAGTGAACTTTTGCTGAAACTGCAAGATATACTGTGCTGCAGAAAATCTGATTCCCGGTGCTAACACTTTCAATAAAGGTACCCCCTAACTGGGCTCAGCAGGTAGCAAACCCAGTGGTGTTCCCTCAATGACTACCACTGTTTTCTGTCTGCAAAATTCCAACTGAATGTTGCCAAGATGCCACATACCCCTTTTACAGTTCTGTTCAGTGAAGGAACAAACAAGCCGCCATGGCTGTTTCTAACCCTAAAACACTGATTATCAGGATCAAAGAAAAAAAACAACAAAAAAAAAAACAACCAAATAGGTACAAATATCCGTATTTAAGAACAAGTATTCAGAACGACCAAACCATGCAATAAAACATGCAGTGAAAAAAGCTCATCCTACTTAACCCAGTCTTATAACTAATTTGGTTGGTAGTCTTTCTCAAGACAGAATTTTGCTTTTTTGGAAAGTGACACTAAGGCTTGTACAGAATGAAATCATCCACAAAGTGCAGGTAAAGCAAGACTGTTTGCCAGGATAAACTGAAAGGTCAGGCAATTGGACAGAGAACTTTCTACTTTTAATGAAACTTCACATAGGCTTACCCTGATCATCAGCACAGCCTTCCTGATGTCACGCACACCGTCGTACACCAGACGGGAGGCATCGATAAATTCATTCTCGTCCACAGGCTGAGTGGGGTTTGCACTCAGGGCTTCCACGGCAGCCTCGACCTGCTCCGTGAAGCGGGGCATCACTGCAAGCCGGAGAGGGGAGACATGTTAGCACAAGGTCTGTTTAATGGAATGCCTGCCACTTGTAGCACACAGCTAATGTAATATTTTTGTCTGCCAAATTTAATTGAAATTCACACTTTTTACATAAATACATACATACCAAATTACATCCGCACCACAATATCTGAGCTCTGACTTTGTCAAACAGCACAGCTGGATATAGGTTGCAATGATATCTCTAAATTCCAGTTCAGGTCAAGCACATAAAATTATATATCATGCTGATCTTTAACCATGTTCAGGGTTAAAGAGCAAAATATCCTTTGAGCAGGATTGAAATGGGAAAAATATTGACCTATAAATGACTCGCTTGGGAAGGCTAGTTGGGGAAAATATGAAAAGCTTTTTCTGGTAAAATACAGATGCTGTACTTGTTAAATGATGGTGTTTTGACAATAGCTTTAGCCTTGAGCTCCAATATTCAGAACAATACTAGCACACTATTTTGGGAAAAAGCTGCTTCATTTACTCTGATCTATAGCAGCTTTGAAACATCTCTGAAAATGGACCCAGCAGCGTTCAGTTGTGCCCAAAACTATGAAGCAATGGTTTGGTCCACATTTCCATTAATACTCAGGCCCATTTGGAATTTCAAAGCGAACAAGGTCCCAGGGGGCATTTGAGCTGGGGAGCCAGTTGCAAAGCAGAGGGATGAAGGAAGTAGGGATTTTGGGCTTGCATAAACATGCAACGGCCTAGTCAGTGAACTTAATGGTAAAGGTAGCTGTTTAAGCATTTAGATGCAATAGAGAAAACAAATTGAGAAAACTTTAAATTTACACACAAACACACACACTTGTACATAGATAGATAAATAAAATGCTGAAAGCTAAATGAAATACCTGTGTCTGTCAGAAGCTTGGTGGCCTCCAGCACTTTCTCAGTGTAGACCCCCGGCTCATAGTTGTCCATCTCCGACGTCACCACATGAACCACCCTGGCCGCACGGCCCCGAATAGCCCCAGCAGTGCGATCCAGCCCATCCACATCCTTTTCTTGCAGAGCAATCACACACTTGTTCACATCCTCCAGGATGTGGTTTTCTAGTAAGACAGAGATCGCATTTGACCGACAACGTTAAAAACAAGGACACGCACTGTCGGAAAAACCCAAGTCACTCTGAGAATTAAAGCTGGAAATCCTTTATCCGTCATGCTGTATTAAACTCTGTCCCTGGTTTTGGAAAATTAAGAACAGTGGCCAAAAACATTTCTCTCTAATGAAAGAAGGTAAAATGCAAATGAATACGTGACATTTGCACAGGGTGGGACTGCATGTTGTACCATGCTCGAAACAACGTCACCCACGGATTCCTGTCTGGGGCAAGAGCAAGAGATTTGTCCTTAGAAGCCCGCTGATCACAATATACCAGGCTCATCCTTACCAGACACACACAGGAAGTCATCGATGGAAGTTATGTCGTCCACAGCGTCAGTAAGCACACGGACTTGCTTCTCCCAGTGGTCTTTGAAAAGATCCATGTTGTCCTGAGCTACTTTGCTGTTGGGCTTGGCAGCTAAGGCCAGGGCGGCGTTAATCACCTATAATAATTGCAGATTAAAAGCAATTAATCGCTATCCAAAATCAGCCGCAGATAATCTCGTCTGACAATCAAAACCTTAGAAAGCCGTAATTTCTCAACTGTGACTAGGAATTTTTTGTGTGTAAAACATACATCGACAAAACAGAGGATGGGTGAGTGATTAAACAAGACGGGATGATTTGAGCAATGTGGTGTCAAAGGAGGACCAACGTGGTTCTCGTACCTGGGGACAGAGGGCCTCCAGCTGGGAGGCTGCCATGCGGACAAGCTTCACTCCTTCCTCGTTATTGGAAATGGAGCAAGCCAGATTGGCGACCTGCAGAAAGCAAAAATCACACAGATACTCACATGGGTTCTCAGACATCAGGACCTATAACAGCTGCCCCTTTTGATACTGAATTCTCAAAAAAAAAAAAAAAAAAAACTTTCCTTCTCAATAGCTCACAGTTCTTAAGTCTGATTGAATTCTCTGATTGATTATAGTAACCACTGTCAGTACTTCTGAGAGGAGGAATACATGTTGCTGAAAAATTTAAAACAGCTGATACCCAGTGAAAAAATGTGAAGCAAGTAGCTCAATAATCCTTATTACATTATTCTTATGACATTTGTAATATTTACAATAAGGATTCAGTACCAAGGCTTCCTTATTTAAGAAAATAAAATAGAATGGTTATATGCCAACTACACTATGTTCCAAATAATTAGGCAAGTGACATAAGTAAAAAGCTGTTAAAGTAGGAAGGGCTTATACATAAATATGTATGATCAAGAGGTTTTTGAAGAACAATGTTTATGCAACAAATACAACACATTTCTGTTCTGAGTCATTTATGGCATTTACTGTTCCAAAACTAATTTGAAACGCTATTTTGTGCATGTTTCAGAATATCTAAAAACTTATCGGGTACTGCTGGCATCTGTGTAAAAACATTCAAACAGCACTGACGACAATTAAAAGGAACCTAAACAGAGTTGACCGTTTTTAGAATACACCAGAACTGGTGTCTGCATAGGAATTTTGAATGCGGTGTATAGATATTACAAAACTGTTTTGGATGCATAGACAGTATTTTGAAAATGTCACTTTTGGGCGTAATAACTAATCAATTAGATGCTTCACAAGAGGAGACACCGAAATGTGTAACAGAATAGTGAAATGGAAAAACTTTACGCTTCATACAGAAACATTTAGGCTGATCAAATATTGATTAGCACCATTCATCAACACCTTTCACACCACTGGAAACATTCAATACATGACAGCGTGAAAACTTAACCAAATGCTATCCTGCTTAAGGAAGCAATTCTCATTTTCTGGTGACACAGTGAAATGATGGTCTGGGGAAAGCAGCAGTGCAAATGCACATTCCTAGTCAAAGATACATGCATTAATTAACACAACATAATAATCAAAACAGATCACCAACTGCTATCTAAAACAGTCATGCTGGCAAAACACAAAATGTAAATAAGTCAAAATGTGTTCTATGCACAAAATTAAATTGTGCCGTTTATTGCTGAAAATGTATTGCACTGAGCAAAACGGACAATCATTCAGAAGTAACTGTGTAAAATATTGTATGTGTAAAATATGAATGGATCCTAATACTGCAAACAAATATGCTTGTATATATTTCAGATGCCTGGGAACCATGGGCAACAATGACACAGAATCATGTGGAAACTCCAAAGGCTTCATTTTCTGAAAACTAGTTACCCTTCAGTCTTGGTCATACGTGACGTGCATGTGAACTATCATTCAATACATATTGCAAATGTATTTCCAATCTCAAATTAAAATTTAAAAACACCTGGGTTAATCATGGGAAGACTGCAAAAAATAAAGCAGATTTCAGAAAAACATATATAGCACAAAAACAAAAATATTGCAGTTGAAACAAATTCTGGCCTACAGAATACAGTCACGAATACGGCCTACTTTTCCAAGGAAAATCAGATGTTCCAAAGCAAATTTACACATATATGCAAAGTGACTTAATGGCAAAAATTAACAGCTACAGATTCACATCATGCGCTAAGGCTCAACTGTTTAACATAATATTGTACTGGCAGTTTCCATGAAAGTAATCACACGGAAGCAGTGTTTCAGTAATACACCGCGCAAGAGGGGGGGTGGGGTGGGGGGGTTAAAGGCAGTCAGCACTTCCCATTGCCCCTGGTGTACATTTCATAAATATTACACAAAAGAAATGGGGCTGGCCAGAGTTCCATTCTACCTCTTTCATTTTACTGAAAATTGAATACTGTCTCCAAAAGCAATCACTCAATCTAATGTAACCTCGATCTAATGTGAATTTTAAAAGCATATTCATTAATGAATATGGCCATATGAACCTGTAGGTAATGTCGTCTTTCATACACGCAGGTTTGCCCCATATCCTCAATCAACACCATCTTGCAGAATTTCCAAAATCTTGCAAAAATGTCTGAACCTGATTTAAAAAAATGTGTTTAATGGTTTGCATCTGTGAAGGCAGAGCCATCACAGCCATCGAGCACAGAATGGCCACCCATGACCCTGACCAGCAGTTGGAAAATGGATGCATAAAAGTCAGGGGCCTCTTTTGTATTAAGCACAAAACCACAGTCAAAATGGAGCCCTATGAATTTAAAAAAAAAAAAAAAATGAATACTGAACTTGATACTGCTCTTTGAAAGGTGAGTCTTAAAAAGTGCACAACAGTGCATTTCATTCGTGCTGCAACAAAAATAAGGCCAAATCTTCACACTAGCAATACAGTACACAAAAAATACATGGCATCCTTGTGGTTTTATCAATCTCATCAGTTAATTACCCTAAAAACTCCTTTCATTAGATGAACCTGAAGTAAACAGCATAATAAGATTTTGAAACCCAACAGCACTCTAGCCGCATGTATTATGCAAGGCTTTAAAACCAAGCTTAAAATGCTAAATCATTTCAATGGGATCCATTTGTTACCAAAAGATGATTTATGCACCATCAACTCAAGTACTAAATCTGATTAGTAATAGGAATCCAAGCCATCCCTACATCTCGAGTCAACATGTATGGTGAAGTAAGCGCACTGATACAAACATGCAGGCTTGTGTTTACTGCCAAGGTGCCCAAACTACCCATTTATGAATAAATGTACACAGACTGACATACAGTACATGCATGAAGGAGAGAATGTCCTTCAGAAGCATAGCACGTGTTTACCCCCGAAAACAGGAAAAAACTGCAACACATTTAAACACTAATTCTTATTTTAGCAACAATCACATCTATGTAGCTGTATTTCATCTTTTTAGCTTGTTCCAATTTCATATGGTGTCAGTTCCAATTATGCAGTGCAGTGAGGCATTTTCAACAATTGTTATGTCATTCTATAATGCCACTGCCAATTCCTCTGCCTGGGGCAGAACTCTGGGCTCTTTGACTAATCCAGTCCCACTCTAGTGTCTAACTGGTGCTTTCACTCCTGTCTTGGCACTGAAATGAAGGCCAGGCACCCATGGGGAGTGGTCACTCCCAAATGTCAACAAAGGGCATTTTTCTACTGGGACCACGGGGAAAGACATGGGGGAAAAGGTAATGAGGATGGCTAATGACAGTGTCAGTTTCTAGCTGACCATTAGACTCCAATACAAAATGTTTTAAATGAAGAACATTGTCTAGGAAAAAATACAATGGTGGAAGAGGAACAGAAGCTCAATTTACAGTTATCCTGCCACAACTCCATGACTATGTACGATGACAACACGCTGTACATTAAGCCATTTCCTGACCAGTACATAGCATTTCATTATATTTCCATTGTCAACAGGAAATAGGATACAAACAGTTGAGAAAATTGAACCATTTCCCTTGAGACAACACTTAACCTTTGGCAATGAAGTTGGACTCCCCTGGGTAGGTACAAGATTTGTTTCACGGAACTGACCAGCCGTACACATTTGACATGTACCGTCTGCCTGCCCAAAATAGCACATGATTTCATTCAGATAATATTGCTTACATATAACAGCAAACTGCTAAATTTGAAGTCAACCTGTATGGTTTGAATAATGAAATGTATTGTATAGATTGCTATGGCAGAATTTGTACGGAAATTTTACTAAATCACAAGACATGACGATCACATTTCATGTTTGAATGTTACAAGAGATCAGATTTTTTGCCTTGTTGCCATGAACAGGCAATATGATTTTATAAACACACACTGGAACCATTAACCTAGCAGACCTGATCAGATCCTGCTATTCACATTAGTTGCAAAAAGTACAAGAGCCACCTGTATTTCAAGGGTATTCAAGCAGATTAAAACCCCAATTCTTTTAATGTCTAACTGAGGGGGTCTTGCCTTTCTAAATAAATCACAAGGTAACTCACCTCAATGAGCTTGTTGGCATGTTCTCGGAAAACTTGGGCATATTCCTTCACCTCCTTCTCATTGCCATTCTTAGCCGCTTCAATCAGGACCAGAAGTGGGACGTTGGTCTCCAGGAAAGAGTCTGACACATGGTCCATTACTGCTTTGCGCAGCTAAGAACATAAAAGTAAAGACAGATACACAGCTTTACTAAGCTTTACTTAAAAAAATCCAAAATGCTTTAAAAGTGATTTTTAGAGCAATACGGAATACTACATTAAAATTTGAACTGAAGAATCTGTCAGCTTGCTGGCCATAATTCTGAAGGAGACACTTCGATCAATTAAATCTATAGCGACATTAACATTACAATGTAGTAACAGGCAATAGATGTCTTCTTTTGGAAATGTAAGACACAGGGTAGCCATTTATATTGAAAGCCATTAATACAGAAAATGGAAGCATCAATCCTTTCCACAGCCATCACTTAGAAATGAACTCCTGCTTCCAATTCTGGAGAATCTTTTGTCAATACAGATTAGCAAAACCTCCAATTAATGCACATTACAATTTAGATTTTTAGAGTTAATTTTTAAATGTTAAACAGCATTTCAGATAGTTGCATGTATGTGGTTCTAGGTAGAACACTGTTAACCATTGACATGAGCCTTTTAGTGGAAGAGTTTGGCTTCATAGAAGAATGGAGAAATACGTGGTAAGGAAAGGAACCTGACCTGTCTGCGTAGATCACGCGTCTTCTTAGTCATCCTGTCAATGGCTGTGTTCAGGGCATCACTTCTGTCTTTTCTGCCAGCCTGCAAGTGAAAAATAGCATTTTGTAGCTTACATTTTCCGAGGCAACTGGTAGGGTTAGGGATTTGGGGAAGTTCAAACAACATCCACAGGAGAAATTCCTGTTCTCTTACAAAACACCCTAATTATGTAAATTAAATAGAAACCCCAAAATGAGTAAAATAAAGATACGTTTACAAACAGAGGAACCGGCACGGTTGCACAATGGGAAGCTTACATTTGTGTTTTATAGTTAAGGTAAGTAGGCATCTCATTTTTAAGAGAAATTAAAAAATTACCCACAACACACATTAAATATCACCAAGAAACTATGAAAGATAAGCATCTGTAAACTGGGAACTATTGCCATTGAACACAAGTGGTACTGAGACAACTATCCATTCATGGCAGCTGCAATACAATTTTCTTTTGAGCATATGAAATATGAAGTTTTTATGTTTCGCAGAAGCTTATTGTAACAGTGCAACACTTTACTTCAATTGATATTACGCCCCATAATATCAGAATATTGAAACATCTCAATTTCTAAAGAAGGGCCATATTATGCATCATGCCAATAAGCAAGAAAATGACAGGGATTACCTACTCCAAAAATTCTAGCATCACCTACACACATTTCAGCCATTTTTGCCTGACATGAAGGTAAAGCATACATATGGGCTGGAAAACTTTTCAAATTAAAGAAATTTAACACCATAATATTAAAAAAAAACCTGAAAAGAAAGTTGTCAAATGTCACTGATCTTTGAATGCTTTAAATTTGAAGGCACACAGCTTGTCCCAAAAAGAAGTTCTAGAAAGAATGCAACCACATAATGCAGTGCCTTTATCAAGATAATCACTTTATGCTTTTATGCAATACAAATGTGTGTCAGTCTATTTGTCTGAATTTCAAAGCCTCAAATTAAGCAAATATTTTACAAAAATTCAGGATCAAAGGCTCCAAATCCCATAAGGCTTTATCTACTATATACCCCCCACCCCCCCTATAATTGACTGCAAAAAGGTTAGCTATCATGTAACTGAAATACAAAGTGTGACATTCACCAGAAACTAACTACAAAGAAATAACCCATATTTATCTGTACACAGTGCATATATCATCCCAAATCCTATTTTCCATATGAACAAAATGTACAGAGACTGCCAAATTTAGAAAGCAAGCTGCAGCATTTAAAACATTCTGATGGGGCAGCGAAACCAGCGAGGAAGAAAAGAGAGGAGGTCATCAAACAAGCAAGTAGGAGTAAGCAAGAGTGCAAGGCATAAAGTAAGCTAACAAGCCAGAGCATTACAGAGCAAGAGGAAGAGAGCAAGGGAGGGAGAGCAAGGGAGCGAGAGCGGGTGAGAAAGCTACAGGGAAAGAGGGGGCGAGGGAAAGAGCAAGCAGACGAGCGATGCAGCGAGAGCGAGCAGGAGAGAGCAGGGGAGACCACGCAATAGCAAGAGAGCAGACGAGAATGAGCGAGAACGCGCAAATGGGAGGGAGACTGGGGGAGAGCACACGAGAGAGAGAGGGAGAGAGAGAGAAACTGCATCACTGATCGACGCCAGCCTGCCACCACTCTGTAGCAGTGCGTGCCTGCAACAAAAGCAGCGAACAGCCTGTCTGATTCTTTCCTTATCCTTTTTTTGACCAGCAACTATCCTCTGTGTTGAGAACTCAATACAGACACGGCTGACGGAGCGACAAGGAGCAAGATTTGCGAGAAGGGTCTCCGACTGCCATCAACAAGTTATGCGAAGGCAGACCCCCAGTCATGAAAGGAGACTGCTTGATCTTCAATTAACCAATTGAGCTGACATCATTGCAGTAGCAAAGGAGAGGGACGAAAAACCAAAAACGCACAAGGATTGTGATGGATTCAGATCAACTTATAGACTGAAGGGGGGGAATCTATTTTCCTAATTTCTCAAAAGAAACCGGATTAAAAATATAAGATTAAAATTCTAGTCATGGAATTGCTCCTTTTGTTGCATTTGTGGAGATCCAGCATTGCTTTATTTAAGATCACGATTCCTTTTGTGTTTTATCAAAAGGGTTTTTGTTCATTTGATTTTTTTTCCGTCTGGCTGCTCAAAGTGTCTGCGGAGAAAAACAGTTGAATGCAGCCTCCGATGTGCAGAAAAGAATGGGTAAGTTAGCTCTTTTATATGCTAGGTCTGGACCTGAATAGAAAACAGAGTGCAAGAGTGGACTAAAGATAACACCTCAAGAGCTCCTAACATTAATTTATTCATTTTAAACGCGTTTGCTTCATCCAGAGCCACAGAAATGAACCATAATCTGTGTACTATGTAAAAAAAATCCTCAGCTTTAGAGAGATGTACACTGCATTTATCATGTTAAATAGCATCAGGATCGTGATAAATTCACAGTAACGCATCCCAAGGACATGCTTAATTCTGGGTGTGTGTACGCGGTGGCAGTGTGTACCACAATGCTCAAATAACCAGACTGAAAACAAGGGCTTACCAATGATTGTCTAAATTAAACATATCTGTTGAATCTACAAACTGCATTTAGAAAGACCATGGTAGGATTAGATAAAAAGCCGGAATGAATGAATGCTCCTTTAGAGACATGGGGGGACGTGTATATTACATGGGGTATTCATTCAAACACAAAATGTGTATATTAGTGTCTGCGCATACAGAAATACATGGGTCACAGATTTGACAGACAGCGACCGTAATTACAGCTTTAATATTCCATTGGGATCGTTCCCAGCAGGAATTAGATGCCCACTCTCCTCCCACCCAGTTTATTTTGTTGTGTTTAAACCCACCCAGGTTTCCATTCAAGGTGGATACTCGTAGGACCAGCACCAGCGGCACTCTTTGCGATCAGCATGCTGCTGTGCCTGATCCCTGTGTCATGCACAACCTGCCCCCAGAAATGCCGCTGTGAGGACCTGCAGTTTTACTGCGACACACAGGGGCTCCTGGCCCCCCCAGATGGTGTGGAGAGGGGGGCTTTGGGGCTCTCACTGCGGCACAACAGCATTACAGAACTAAGCGCTGATCAATTCTATGGCTTCAGCCAGCTCACGTGGCTCCACCTGGACCATAACCAAATAAGCACCGTGAGGGAGGATGCATTTCAGGGGCTATACAAGCTTAAGGACCTCAACTTGAGCTCCAACCGCATCACCAAGTTGCCCAACACGACCTTCATCCACCTCATTAATCTCCAGATCCTGGACCTTTCCTTCAACCAGATGACAGCTCTTGAGCCAGAGCTATTCCATGGCCTGCGCAAGCTCCAGATACTGCACCTGCGCTCCAACTCCCTGCGTACAACTCCCGTACGGGCCTTCTGGGACTGCCGCAGCTTGGAGTATTTGGGCCTTAGCAACAACAGGCTAAGAAGTCTGGCTCGCAATGGCTTTGCAGGCCTGATTAAGTTGCGGGAACTCCATCTGGAGCACAATCAGTTGACCAAGATCAACTTGGCACACTTCCCCCGACTGGTTGCCCTTCAAGTCCTCTACCTTCAGTGGAACAAAATCAACAACTTAACATGTGGGATGGAGTGGACCTGGACAACTTTGGAGAAGCTGGATCTCACTGGAAATGAGATCCGCACTCTGACTTCTGATGTGTTTGAGACTCTACCCAATCTTAAGATCTTGCTACTGGATAACAACAAACTAACAAGCCTCGACAGCCAGACCTTGGATATGTGGCACTCACTGGGAACTATTGGGCTTTCCAGCAACCTCTGGGAATGTACCAAAGGGATCTGCTCACTGGCTACTTGGCTGAGCATATTCAAGGGAAGGTGGGAACACTCTATATTGTGCCACAGCCCAGAGTATGCACAGGGTGAGGAAATACTGGATGCGGTTTATGGGTTTCAGCTTTGTCAAAATTTTTCGGCGCCATTCCTGCCGACCAGCCGCTCTCCTGAGGTCACGTCACCCCAGGAAGCCACCAGCTCCCTATTTGGAATTATGCAGACGCCCACGCAGGACTTCTATGCAGAGGATTTTGGAAGCTTTACTACAGTTGCTACTACCACCACTGCCACCCAGCCACCCAAGACTGTCACTGCGACCACCACCACCACCACAGTCGGGTGGGCATCCGTGACAGACGACTTCTCAGAGATTGACAACACAGTTCTCACCCAGAGGGTCCTAATTGGAACTATGGCCCTATTGTTTTCATTCTTTCTCATCATTTTTGTGGTATACATCTCCAGAAAGTGTTGCCCCCCAACACTGAGGCGAATCCGACATTGCTCAGCAATTCAGAATCGCCGACAGATGAGGACTCAGACGCGACAGCCAATGGCAGACCTGGCCACCCAGGTGCCCTATAATGAGTATGAGCCCAGCCACGAGGAGGGTGCCCTCGTCATAATTAACGGGTACGGGCAGTGTAAGTGCCAGCAACTGCCTTATAAAGAGTGTGAAGTATGAACTATTATTTATTCTTGCAGATCATGGTTTCCCATTTAGCCATTCCAAACAATAGTGTTGGTTTGTTATTTTTCCAGTATATATTAAAAACCAACTTGTTGGCTTTGAACATATGTTTTGGAAGCAGATGTACGATGCAGCTGAATACAGGCCATCTTCTACAGTTCGAGAAGATTCAGATTAAGTTAACAGGTGTGAATTGATATTCACACATTTATTTTTATAATATGAATACACATTTGTTGGTATCAAGAAGGAAAACTGAAGACATGCCATGTCACTTAGAAATATATATGGTAACAAAAATAACCTAATTATGAAGAGGAGTCAGCCAACCACAAGAGGTAATACTTTAATCTTTACACACGGTAAAAGAAAAAAAAAACTGAATTTAATCTTTAAAGTTGGAAGTGTTTTTGTTATGATCTGATCAGACAATGCAGTATTCACAGGTCAATTCAGTGCCCAAGTCTTACTTGCGCAGCTAACAAATGACACTTAACAAGGATATTTAGAACCTCTCCAGCCAATAAGCAGCCTTCCAGGTTTAGAACTAATTCCATCACCTCTTAAATCCAAAAGCTTAGCACTTTTTCTGGGAAAGGTAAATGACCAATATGCCACAGTATTAATTCTGCCAAAATGTCGTAGCTCTCTAGCACAGTGGGAGCAAAATGCTATTTATGAAACCACTGATCCAAATATCAGCTACAAGAAATCTTCACACTGGTTCAATTTAAAACCAGTAAACAAGGTGTCTCCCTCTTCTCCACAAATATAACCACAATGAATATATAAGCCTGTATTATTTGCCAGTATACCTAGATAAATGCTAAATTTGGAATAAGCAGTACCAAAATTAAGAGTCATGGCTCAGTGAATTTTCAGTGCCGCAAACAGTACCTGAGGGGCAGACAGGAATGACACCCTTGAGTTAAATAACTGAACAATCTCCATTAGAGAATCTCTAATTGAGGGGTGTCACGGCATAGCACCGCTTGAACACATTCTCACAGGCTACCTCCAATAAAAAAAAAAAAAAAAAAAAAAAGAAAAAAAAAAAACACGTTCCATGTCTTGTACTTCAAAGGGGGGGAAAAAACCCATTTAAACACATTAATCCAACACTGCAAGGCAATGTTGAATTTTATATATAAAAACTATATATTACCGACTAGAGATTCCGTTTCAGTTTCCCAGAAGCACCAGCAGTACAGGTGACTCATCCTGAACGACGAGCCATCACTTTGTGCCAAACGGAATGGTGTCTATCATTAAATGAAAGCAGCTGCCGGTCTGTGGTCTTCAGGATAAGGATGTAGGCTTCAACTGAATTTATACTTTTAAATTAGTTACAATGAAAGGGGGAGGAGAGCACAGATTACACTAATAACTTTACATTTAAACCATATGGACAGTAATGGAATATTGTAATACATGTTTGATAGAGAAAAAGAAAATACATGCTCTAGGAAGCACGCGTTAATGCAAATCGACGACAAAAAGTGGCCTCTAGGGGGAGATATAAAAACAAAATCTGCACAGAATTTTTCCAGAAGCGAGCGAGCGAGCGAGAGAGAGAGAGAGATTAAGACAATTCACAGAGTCACAGGGAAAGCCCCCCCCCCCAAAAGTCCATGATATATCCAGTATTTGTAATTTGACCGAATCCCCGACTACTTAAAATACCTGCCTAAATAAGACAGCCATATTATGAAGAGTGATACTAATTAGTATACAATTCGTATGAAAACCTAGAGAGCTGTTTGAATAGGTTGACATGGTAGTCATGGTATTTACAAAAACAGCAGGCCATTTCAAATATTTCCCCAAGAAATTTATGCGCAATATTCCTCATGTGCTGCAGCTCTGGCCTGCTCCCCTACATACCCTGCATGTTCCCAAATGACAGACAAGAGTTTTGTACGTGCCAGCTGAGGTCAGCAAAGACTGGACAAGCCTTACATCTGTATTTATCAAAAGCTTGGAATTGGACAAGTTATGAACTGGACTGGTGGTTAAACATTTTATTTCTAGAAAGTTTAGCAAACATCTGGCATCTATTAAAAGCAACAGCTTGTGAAGTGATCAACACATGAATTGTAGAATTTTACATCGATCTGCACTCCTTTCACCTGTATCCATACCATGGTGAAGTGTGACATCACATTCCCTAGCAATCCTGATCTTTAAAATGGGTAACGCATATGAGACAGCCATTTTAAATATTACATCGTTGGTAGTGTTTTCATTTTCACAGAGGGGGAGATCATGGGATTATTGAGAAAACGCACTTGTGCAGTTGACTTTAGGCACACTACCAACACTCAGAATTAATAGCAAAACCCAACATGGTTAAATGATTTATACTCATGCCTTTAAAACATTCTACCATGGCTTCTCAGTAATCCATTGAAAAATGTATCAGATGAAAAAGCATTCAGCAGTCAAAATTCATTAGGTATTAATTTATCAGTAAATGATTCCTATTAAAATCTTTACTAATTCTGATTAGTTTGGTAATCCCCTTCAATGATTGGTACGCTTGTTGCTAGGAAAAAAATGATGAAAGCACTTTACCAGCGTGTCAAAATACTCCATGCTCTCCCACATTGCCTACAAACCCATTGAAAGCACTACTTTCACTACGCTGTGGTCCAAAAGAATGCTTCCCCCCTTTTTCCTTTTGTATTGTAATATGTACAATTTCATATATGTATAGTGGACAAAAGATGTGGCTTTAACTGAAGATTTTTTTTCCTTAAAACATATATTTTTTAAATAAAAATGACTACAGTTTCTGATCTTGCACAAGTCTGGCAGTTAAGTCATTATAAATGATTTGATATTGGCTTAGATTAACTGGTGCAAAAAAAAAAAAAAAGTGAAAAGCTGTTGAAAGCACTTTTAGAATACAGAAGTAGAAAGTCTGACTGCATGTTACTTCTAAAGTATAGTTGTCACAACTGGGGTGGTGGTATTTATACAGGTTCTCAGTCTATTTAATGCTGGAATGCTATGACAAGACACCAAAGGAAGAAGTGACAGAATCGCCTCAATGCCACACCATTCCGAGATCATGCCACTGGATAGCACAGAGAAAGCACTGGCTATTTCAGAGCCAAGCATTAATTCTGGCCAATTCTCTGTGCAATACCAGGGTGTGCCGACATCTGAACAAGGGTCTATAGGCTGGTTTTATGAGGTCAGTTTACATCAGAACGGGTTGGGGTTAGGGTTAAACCCACGGATGGCCAGGTTCTAGACAATATCCAAGGGTCAAAATTTGATTGATCCATTAACCATGTTTGCTTTCTGCGAGCTTACTTCCTGTACAGCAACTATACAACATTGTTTGAGAGAGTGCAAAACATCTACACAACTCAATTTCCAGAGAAAGCCGTATGTACTGATACTACACTTGACTGCACTCTATATCAACGTATGGCACAATGAGATCCTTCTGCCAGGGTTATACAAAATATTTACTTTAGTAAGCTAAATGCAGCTTTGTCTTCCACTTCGTAGCGTTTTCCACACACTGATAAAGATGGCAGGAGTTTAGATACTGCCAAAATGTCATACTTGCATACAGCCTGCATATCTGCACAACCTTCAGGTTCATTTACACGAATCTTTGTGTGCATTTAAGTGATTCACTGCCTTCATGTTAATTATATTCAGCCATCTTTAAATTATGTGCTCATTGCTTGCACATGAATTCAACAGTTTTTATTCTCAGCTACGTTAATCAATGTGGCCTCCGGTACTTCAATGTCACAAAGCCAGCTGTTCAAAAACAGCCAAGAAATCCAAATTAAGAAATTCCTCATGTACTTAACTATTATCCAATGAACAAATCTTCAGAGACCAGGTCTGGCAAATGTATTCTTAAGTACAACTGGAGACCACTAGCTTAGAAGATCAAAAAATACTCATAGTAAATTATCACATAGACCTCGATACTACTACCAGCCCAAGCATAAGAAATGAGGATTTGATCGTGCAGGACAGTGTTACAGTACAAGCTGTCAACTGAACTTCACCAGTCACCAATATGTAACAGTAACTGTCATACCATAAAACTTCAGCTGTACAAATTTCTAATGCTGATGCTCATCTGTGATGTGCCTATTTTTCATAAAGTAGCCTAAAAATAACCCATAGGAAACAAAGGTGATAAAAGCACCACACACCATAGATCGAACAGGAAACCAGTGCATGTTTTTTTTTCCCCTCTCAATATTGATTCTCACGATGATTCACAGCTTACAAGAGAAAGTATTCCTCTTAGGGGATGCAGCCATCTACCACCCAGTCCTCTCAGTGGAGGTTTCTCCCCCAAAGAAAGGGGATCAAAGCATCTATGCAGCTAAGAGCCATTAACTGCCCATCTGAAGTTCAAGGTCACTGAAAAACACTCAGTGACAGCAGTATTTCAAGGTCTTTTGCTGCCATGATCATAGTACATGATGCAAGGTTAATAAATGGCACCACATTTCTCACATCAAATTTAAAAAAAAATTCAAAGCAGAAGAGCCTATTAATAGATAACATTTAACAAAACCTGAATTATGGGTAGAGTTAATTCTGATAAATGAAATCTTGGAAGACTACTGGAGCAATCATTCTTCCTTAGAAAGAAAATGTGTATTTGCTGCAAGAGCACAATGACTCATGGAAATGGTTATTGGCAGTGTGAGAAAATTGAACAAGCCCTCGTCACAGCCTGCAACAAGGCAGAACCCTTTAAAGCTCTGATGAATAAAGGTACCTTTTAACTGTGCATCTTTAATTATGCTAATGAATTGGCAGATCCCCTTGATGCATCTAATCTGGATTGCAAATCAGCATTCAGCATAAGACATTTCTCCTCTGAGCTCATCATTGAGTCCCACTGTTTCAAAAGGATAGCTTCAGCTAAAGAATTCAATCAGGACTGACTTTACAAAAATGGAAATGCTTCTATATAGAAGAAACAGAATATTACTCACAGAAACTGAAATATGCAGAATAAGTTACCACAAACAGGACATAAAAATAGTTATTAAAAATCTAGGGCATGGAATCTTAAACTTGTTAAAAGCACCCAGTTACCGCAAGCAAAACCTAATAATCATTACAGGGTCCAGAATACAGAACATCTTTAGCGTCAACAATTTCTGCCAAAATGAGGCAAACTGCTTGCACCTGACAAATCCAAAAGCAAATCTGTACTGGATTCAATTAGAATGCTGGACATTAAAATGTAGGCATGACTCATTCAAGAAATAGCACATACTTTAAATGCGATCACACAAAACCTATATGCAAATATCACAGACATAAGCGGCCCCAGGTGATATTCAAAGATGGGACACAAAAAGGATGTTTTCCAAAGGCAAAAAATCAGGAGATTTCTCACATATCACCAACAACATGCTCGATTTTGGTTTGCTGCAATGTGACCAGGCCTACAGAACTACAAAGAAACTAGAATATATTGCTTGGAACTTCTAGGACCAACTTATTAGTGACCAGTTGATTTGTTTATTATGTCTGTTAAAACTCTCAGCCAATATCTCTCTACTCCCCGTCTTAAAAAAATTGCAGATTAATTAAAAACCAAAATAAGGTGTTGAACTACATTGCTTTCATTCAGGTTAATAATATTCTCAGGACAAAGGCTGTCGAAACCAAGAGTCTTTGATCAAATTCATTTGAACCAAAAAATATCTAGCTGCACAAACAAAATGAGGCTTGCTGTATCAAAAGGAAAACAAATTAGATCAGAATGACTGTCCAACAGCAAAAAGAAAAATGTTTACAGTGTGTATGCAGAGATCATACTAGAGCAGGTGCGGTAAACCTGATTTTAACCCTCTGGGGTCTTGGGGTAGGGAACACACTTTGACTGGGGCATGGTCACACATTTCATTCAATATCAAACTTAATTCATGACAAATAAATTCTCATATTTTTGTATTGGCATTACACTCATCTTAATTTTAATGAACATTGTAAATGTGTCAGATTTGTGTTAAGTTTGTAATCTGACGTCAAAGTATAGACATTGCAAAATGCAGTTTGGAACACTTGCAGAAACATTATAAAAGTACATAGTAAGCAATGGTGCCAGTTTGTTTTGACCCCAGATAACTGATCAGCAAAGTCTTGGCTACACGAAGATGACTAAAGCTGCAACATTCAGTTGGATAAATAAGAAAAACCTAACTCACTATTTCTGGCTCCTTTCATTGGATATGTAGGAGCTCTCATTTGTATGCATGACCATTCACACCTGACCACCCCCCCCCCCCCCCCCCCCTTTTATGGTGCTGATGGGGATGTATCTGGATCGCGTTTCATCATTGCGTTGTTCATCAAATTAACATGCAAATGTCATTTGAATATGCGTGATGCGGCTATTTAGAATGCGAATAGCGATCTTCAAGGTGAGGGCAGTACTTCACGCCGCCGATGCAGGTAAAACAAAGGTGACAGGGTTTACTTTTTTGCCGATTTAACCTAATTTTAAAAACTTATACTTCCGACAATGGACGTTTTGAAAAGAGATTACGGATTTTTTCTTCTTCATGATTCTAAAGATTTAAGCAAGATATAAACTGAAATAGGCGTGAAAAATACGCTGCATCGCTGACGATGTGCTTGTCCCGAAAGGGTTAACATACCAGATAATCAGGAAAAGGAACAATCATTTAAATTTCAAAGCTTGCCAAGTTAGTTTCCTATGACAGAGTTCAAAAGTGTCAGTAACTTATTGATGGTCAATCATGATCCGTGTGATGTGACAATTCTGCAGGCTCATAACGCGATGTTGATATCGCACCTCGTCTCATCCTAGATAGATGTACTAAAAAAAAAGTCACTTTCACAATTTTGTTATACTACTCTGAGCATCTGCTTAAATTTCATAGGCTATTTATTTCAGCAAGTGGAAGTTGATTCCCAAAGGTCCCCAGGGAACGTCAGTATTTCTTTTGTTGCAGATACCAACCATAAACTACTAGTCAATGTAATGGTTTGATCTAAAATAAGCAACAAGCTGTCTCAAAACAAGGTCAAGGTAATTTCTGGAAATCTGTTCAATCCCCTTAATTACAACTATGGCAGAATCTCTAAATGCTTATGCACAACATCACAGTATATGCAGTAGGGCTGGACGATAAAATAATTATCGCAATAAAATTTCACGATATCGATATGCCAAGTGCTCAAAGGAGGTCTGAAATAATTTGAGACAACATGCCACTGGCCACACTATGTATCACAAAATGAGGTTACTTTGAGACTACTTGTCAGGACTGCCAATGCAGCACAAGTGCAAACACAGCTGTAAAATCGGGGGATTTACTGAACACAAAACAGAATGCAACAGGGCAAGTAGGCAGACGACAGACAAAAGTGTTAAAACAACGGCAACTCACCAGGAGAGCAAGCAAGTCCAAAGCAACCCATTAAATAACGGTAATCCGGCGAAATCCAAAAGGAAAATCCATAGAAAAATTCAGTCCATGAGAAATCCTGCAGTAATAATCCATAGAGAAATAAGATAGGAAGAATGCCAGCAGCAGCGTTCCGATGACTAACAACCTGCTCATCTCTCGCACTTGTCAAATGCAAAATGCTGCTCGGTACACGTGGCGCTTCTGGCTTCCTTTTGGGTATGATTTGAGTGCTTTTCTGAGCCAAGAGCCCCATCTAGTGAGGTTAGAATATACAGCAAATTGTTCCGCAAATGTCATTTTGGTCAACACTACTGTTTGGCAAGCATTTGTTACGTTCTGAAGATAGACAGGTTAACTATGA